AAAAGGCCTTTTCTACATGTTCTTCTCATATTATTGTGGTTTCCATCACCTATGGCAGCTGTATCTTTATATATGTCAAACCTTCAGCAAAAGATGAAATGGCCATCAATAAGGGGGTAGCAATACTCACTACTTCCATTTCCCCCATGTTAAACCCATTTATTTATACTCTGAGAAACAAGCAAACAAAACAAGCCCTTAATGTGTTAGTAAAAAAAATTATATTGCTCTCTAGGAACTAGGGAAATGCCGATATCTGTATCCCCATATGTACTTTCTTAAGTTTCAGTTCAATTCAATTCCATTTTGTCTCTTTCTGATCTTATATTCAGAAATATATTCAGAACCTATTATGATCAAAGTCACACTTTGCTTCCCCAAACAAATAAAAAAGTTTGAAAATAACTTTTTTATATTGGGAAAAAGAACACAAGCACAAATGTTTAAAAGTCACTGTGTTATATATTGCTGCATCAGGAAAAGCAACAATAAGACCAATATTCACAACCCATGATAATAGAGTGGTCCATTTAGAAATTGCAAATGGGACCTAAAAATCATAGAACAAAATCACAGCATCTTATTAGTTGAATAAGATTCAGAGATCACTTCGTACAATCTTGTACAAAAAAAAAACCTCTAAAATTTTAGCAATCTATATACATCCAGGATTTACTTTTAAGATTTAAATTAATAATTAATAGCTCTGAAGAAGATAAAAAATAGAATATAAATGACAGGAAGATATATTTCTGTGAGTTCAAAAAACATGCAAACTCTTACAGCCAGATTTTAAATGACAGTTTTCAACTCCCTAAACACATTTTAGAAATAAGCTACATGTTTGTATGACCTATAAAAACTGGCTGGACTATTTTCATGTGGAGTTTTTCATGAACATTTTCCCTAAGAGACCTAACAAAACAAGCAAATCAGAAAAATACATCTTTTCTTTTTTAGATTTATCTTCACCCATGAAATCTCTCACTTCTATTGATGACCTTCTTTCATAATATATTCTCCTCTTCAGCTGTCTTTTAAAATTAACCATATACCTAAAATTTTATCCTTTTATGTAATATTACTTTTTCTCAGTTCCCACCATTTCAAAATTGTTTACTACCGAGAACAGTTAGGTATTGTTTCTTGTATAATTTACTCATAATTGACCAAAGCATCTGAACTTCTCTGGAGTTCTCTGTTCTTTTTCCTATTTTCTGAGTATCATAATTATTTCTAGAATCATATGAGGACAATTTATTGTAATTTTGATATTTCCTATGTCTTAACTTGCTTTGCCATTTATTGGCTTCAAAATTACAATAATATATTGTTAATCACATCTACTCTCATGCAACCTATATCTATTTTTTCTTTATTAATGAATAGAAAAATGTTTTAAAATTAGGCTCTAACCTGGCAATAAGTAATAAGAATAATCAATAATAATAAATCCTGACTGTAATGTGGCAAAATAATAGCCACAGAGTAAAGAAATCCTTATTTCTAGAGACCAGCTCTTGATTCATTTTTTTTCTCAACTCATATTCAATTGCCATATTCAGTTGCCATATTCAATTTATATAATTCATTAGAAAAAAAAGCAATGCACAAATTTTGGTGTACTTTTAAATTCTATGCCATTGCATTATAGATTTCTATACTATAAAAAACTAAGATTAATCAAAAAGCAGTAGAACAAATCACTGGTAAACACCTGCCTTTAATTTCCACAATAATTCTTTTTCTAAAATGGAAAATAAGAACTAATCTCATAAATTATTAATATGCTCACTGTCTAGAAAATATTTTTTTAGAAAATAGTTTTTTAATAAAAAATTGAAAGAAAAATAACATTTAAATTGTGACTTAATGCAAATATTGTAAACTTTCTACTACCTTACCCTCACACTTGCATGTTAGTTTGAACTAGTTACCAGTGCTCGGGAACCTGGATAGTAAAAACTACAACATATTTGGTTTCTATCTCAGATGAGGTAATTTCCTAGTATTTCCTCCATTTATGTTGAAATGATTTCTAATACTAACACTAGTGAAATACTTCCTTACATTCTTTATGATTGTTAATGAAAATGGAAGACAATCAAGAATATCTGACACAAAGAGTTAAGATATCCTCCAAAAAAGGAACACTATCATTACTAATTTTATGCTTTAAAAACAAGAGTTGTTTTGTCATTTAGTTAATTATGTACATAGGGAATTCCTTCTGGAGGGAAAAAGAAACAAAAAAGTAAGAAAAATTTGCCTTTAGTATTAATTATCAGAGGACACTAATGATGTATAATAAAACCAACTTGAAAGGCATATTTTAATAAAAAGTTAAGGGTTAGTGTAACTAAGAAAAATTAAGGAATTATTAAAATTTATATAAGAATGAATAAGAAACTGGGTAACTATCACATTCATTTTATTATTAAAGAATTAACTCTAATTTTTCAGCTTAACAGTAAAGAATGCAATTAAATTTATTGCATTAAAAATGCCAATTGTTTAACAAATTTTTGAAGAAATTGTTGAATAGCTACTCATTTTATAATATCATGTGTTATAGCATGATCCAGCTAATCAATCTGGGACAGATTGTCTCAATATATAAAGTCCAACACATGGAGAGTGGTTACTCAAGACTAAGAAGAAATATAGTAAGTGGAAGGAGATATGTGACTAAGTGGTGATTTGAGAGTTGTGTCTATGATGATTTGAGAGTTGTATTCATGGAAACTTGTTTTGCAATAAGAAAATAAAAAAGAGTGACAGGTAGATATTCCTAATCGTAAGGTACATCTACCATATATGTCAACAAAATATAAGCATATAAAAAGAAGGAATGTCTTGACCCTTGATTGTCCTCATGGGAGGGAAATAAACTAGAAAGTGGAAAAGAAATGCATCGTAGTCACACTAATATACCCTGACATAGAATTGCAAGAGCTGCATATGTGAATGGGTCATGAAACCATCAAGAGACACAGTTGAGTAGAAGGTTCATTATGGCTGTGACTCCTAGAAAAATTCTACCAGGAAAATAATACAGCTCTCTTTCATAATAATGGTATTCTTCCAAGCAAATGATAGGCATTGTTTGTAATAACTATGAAATAAGACTTCAGTGTAGATCTGGATTACCCCTACCTCCTCTCAGACTATAGGCTTTTGCAACAGTGAAGAAAAATATTTGGTAAAATTTAAGAAACTTCCATTCATTCTTCATAAAAACATTATGTGAAACTCAAATTTTTCTATGCACAAAGATTATAGAAACTACTTTTTCTGAATAAAATATAATGAAAATTATTATAATACTTATAAAGTCTGAATGAAAATACCCAAGTCATAAATTTTATAATTATCACCTAAATAATTGTTGGGTTAAAAATGATTTGAAAGTTGTACTTCATGCCATGATGGCATAACTAAGAACAGGCATACCTTTCCCACTCTACACTGTATGGTCACTTGAAACAGGCAACACAAAACTTAGATTTCTGAGAGATGAGAAACAAATCAATTGGGCTCAACTATGATACCATCTTTCTGTGTGAAGGTAATTTCTTGAACAGAAGTATAACAAAGCAAAAGAAAATCAAAAGCATACACAAACATGTAACAAAGCAAAAGCTAAATAAAGCACAGTGGTTTCATGACATGGAGGAGGAAGGGATCATGGATTGCAAAGACTGAGGCAGTTGGAATTTGTGGGCCAGAGTTCCAGACAGGAGACAGCAGCATGGAAAAAGAGCTCTAAAAGTATGCATGGGGATCTTTCAGTCTGGAGCTGAGTACTAAGTTGTCTATGCATAGGATGAAATTCTGTAGTCCAGCAAGGAAAGGCAGAAAAGATGGTACATAAAAAATTCCCCAATGGCATGGCGGGGGGAAAGGGGTGGCAGGGGCAATATACGTAACCCTAACAATATTTGTACCCCCATAATATAATACAATAAATGGAAAAAAAAAGAATCAACAAGAGAAATATCCATTAAAACAACTAAATTTGGAATTATCAAAGAACACTTTGTTATAAAAAAAATGAGTCTATGCAGTTTAAAATTTATTCTACTAAGTACTTGTCTCAATTCAATTGTTGTTTTGTTCTTCCTTGGTAAACAATGAAGGGGTTATTTGCTACTGAAATGTACTCTTTCTAGAAGAATCTCTAAACACTACATCAAGTTAAAGAAACAAAAAAAAACAAAAAAGAAAGAAACTCCATGATTCTTATCCCATGTAGTATTTAACAAGCTATCTTACCTTTTTTTTCCCAAAGAGAACTGAAACTCCACTTTTTCTTATCTTTTTTTTAAGCTTAGATTTGGCATGGGTTTTGTGTTAGTCCAGAATTAAAATTCTGACTGTTTAATAGCTCTACAATCTTGAAATAGGCATATACATTCTCTTAGTTTCTTTAATTATAAAATATTTTTTTCTTACAAAGCTGGCACATCATGGGTATCTTCATAAAGATTGTATTCTTCCCCTTCTGTTAACTTTTTGCAGGATGTGAAATCTACATTTAATGGTTTCTGTAACAGCTAACATTTTTTGACCAATTACTTGAAGATTAAAGTTTATGACAAAAAGAAATTCCCCAAAATCAGAGAAAACTTTTTATGCTGAACAGCAAGAGTAGAATGTTCTCTTAGAACAACTAGGCATTCAGTGAAGATCACATAACTTCCTAAAGAAGTCATATGTTAGTAATTAGAAAAAATTCATCTAACATTAAGCTTACTTTGAACCAGTTTATAAAATGGAGACTTAAAAACAATCCATAATCATGGGACTGCAAATTAGTGCAACGTCTGTGGAAAAGAATTTGGAGATAGCTCAAAGAGCTAAAAATAGAAATAACATTCAATCCAGCAATAGCACTACTAGGCATCTACCCAAAAGACCAAAAGACATTCCATAATAAAGACATCTGCATACAAATGTTTATGACATCACAATTCAGTACTGTGAAGATGTGGAAACAACCCAAGTGTCCATCAATTCATGAGTGGATCATTAAAATTTGGTAAATATATACAATGTAATATTATTCAATAATTAGAAACAACAGTGATCTAGCACCTCTTTTATTTTCCTGGATTGAGCTTGAGACCATTATCTGAAGTGAGGTAACACAAGATTGGAAGAATAGGCGCCACTTGTATTCGCCATCAGATTGGTACTAATTAACACCATGATATTCACATGGTAGTAATATTCTCCAGGGATTAGAGGATTGGGAGGTTCAACTCACAACTAAAGGACATGGTGAGCATTGTAGAGGGAAAGGGCATTCCTCTAACCCTCTCTAGGGAGAGGTGAAGACATAAAATGTAACCAAAATGTTTGTACCCTCATAATACCCTTAATTAAAAATTAAAAAAATTAAAAAAATAGAAATGAATACCTAAACACATAATACTAAATTTAATAATAATAGATATAGCTAGAAATACAAAAACCCACCCAGTAATGATTAACTGTCATTGTACAAACTTAAAAACAGGTAATTATATTTCAAGCCTTTACACACAAAGATAAAATTATTTCAAATAGAAAATTATATATCTGGGGAAAGAATCATTCAAGTGTGAGGGCAAAATTAATACAATTGATGAAATGAAAGAATTCAAAATTTAACTTATTTTATAACTGAAACAATTACTAAATGCTATACTCTAGGGAAAAAAAGAATTAATCCAAGAGAAGAAAATACCTATAGTATAGGGGAAGTAAGATATTTAGAAAAATGAATAAAATTATACTTAAATCTGAAATGATATTGACCATAAAAAGAAAAAGAATTACAATCTAAAAATAAAGTATGAGATAACATCTTATAAAATGCTACAAAGACAAGGGAAAGAGAAAAAGAATAAGGCCGAGTGATTTGTTCTATATGTAACAAAGCTCTACAATATCTATCATTATTAGACATTATAGAATAAACAAAATATATTTATTAAAATACTAAAGGTAGCACACAAATATGTGAATGTATTTTACAGTATTGTGTTAAGTGCAGTACAACTAAAAATAGTTGGGTGATACATTTTATTGCATATGTATTTTACCAAAATTTTTTAAAAATATAATGTATAAGCAAAAAAAGGGTAATCCTGAATAATAAAAGGCATAGGTAAATCATGTCAAGAAAAAGTTAAGCATATTGAGCAATTTTGAAAGAAAACTATCAATGTCAATATTAAAGCATCTTTTTATTAAATAATATAATTATTTGAAAAATAGAAAAGCATAACATTTAAAAAGTATAAAGTATGAAGAATAGATATTAAGTAAATATGATTCCTATTGAGAAAACTATGAACTTTTTCCTATGTCAAGAAAATAGCATATTGGAAAAAGAAGAACAGACCAACTTGAAACCCAGCAGAAGAAATGAAATCATTAAGATCAAATCAGAACTAAATGAAATTGACTACAGAGAAACTATACAGAAGATTAATAAAACAAAAAGTTGGTTCTTTGAAAAAAAAACAAAATTGACACGCCTTTGGCTAGACTAACCAAAAGCAGAAAAGAAAAACTTTAATAAACTCCATCAGGAAAATAAAGGAGAAATTACAACTGATGCCACAGACATTCAAGATATAATTTATGAATACTACAAAAACCTTTATGCACACCAACTGGAAAATGTGGAGGAAATGGAAAAATTCTTAGAAACACAGCCTCTTTAGACTCAACCAGGAAGAAGTAGAATTCCCGAACACACCAATATCAAGTACTGAAATTAAAACAGCAATAAAAAACCTTCCTAAAAAGAAAAGTCCCGGACCACACGGTTTCACACCCAAATTTTACCACACCTACGAAGAAGAACTGGTGCCTATCCTGCAGAAATTATTCCACAACATCGAGAAGGATAGAATCCTCCCCAACACATTTTATGAGACCAACATAACCCTGATACTAAAACCAGGAAAGGATGCAACAAAAAAAGAAAACTACAGACCAATAGCCCTTAAGACTATAGATTCAAATATTCTCAACAAAATCCTAGCCAGTCAAATCCAGGTGCTTGTCAAGAAAATAATTCATCACAATCAAGTGGGCTTCATCCCAGGGATGTAGGGATGGTTCAACATACACAAATGTATAAATGTAATTCACCATATAAACAGAAGCAAAAACAAAGACCATATGATCCTCTCAATAGACACAGAGAAAGCATTTGACAAAATTCAACACCCTTTTATGATAAGAACACTCAACAAAACAGGCATAGACGGGGCTTACCCAAAAATGATACAAGCTATATATGACAAACCCACAGCCAATATCATACTGAATGGGGAAAAATTGAAAGCATTGCCACTTAGAACTGGAACAAGACAACGTTGCCCACTATCTCCAATTCTGTTCAACATAGTGCTGGAAGTCCTTGCTACAGCAATTAGACAAGAGAGCAGAATTAAGGGCATCCAAATGGGAGCAGAAGAGATCAAACTCTCATTCTTTGCTGATGACATGATATTATACCTAGAAAACCCCAAGGATTCAACCAAGAGACTCCTTGAATTGATAAATGAATTTGATAAAGTCTCAGGATACAAAATCAATACACAGAAATCAGAGGCATTCATATACGCCAACAACAGTCAAATTGAGAACCAAATCAAAGACTCAATTCCCTTCAAAGCAACAAAGAAAATAAAGTACCTAGGAATATAATTAACTAAGGAGGTAAAAGACCTCTACAGAAAGAACTATGAAACACTGAAGAAGGAAATAGCAGAGGATGTAAACAGGTGGAAGACCATACTTTGCTCATGGGTCGGCAGAATCAACATTCTTAAAATGTCTATACTACCCAAAGTAAACTACAGAGTCAATGCAATCCCTATTAAAATACCATCATCATTTTTCACAGATATAGAAAAGATAATTTTACACTTCGTATGGAACCAGAGAAGACCCCATATAGCAAAAGCAATCCTAGGCAACAAAAACAAATGGTAGTATCATTTACCAGACTTCAAACTATACTACAAGGCTATAATAATTAAAACAGCTTTGGATTGGCACAAGAACAGGAACATTGACAAGTGGAACAGAACAGAACACATATAAAGCCATCCTTATATAGCCATCTAATCTTTGACAAAACAGACAAAAACATACCACTGGGAAAGAGAATCCTTATTCAATAAATGGTGCTGAAAAAACTGGATAGCCACATGTAGAAGACTGAAACAGAATCCACACCTTTCACCTCTCATAAAAATTAACTCATGCTCGGTAACAGACTTGAACCTTAGATGTGAAAGAAACTATTAGAATCCTAGAGAAAATGTTGGAAATACTTTTCTAGACATTGGCCTAGGAAAGAATTTATGAAGAAGACCACAAAGGCAATTACAGCAGCAACAAAATTAAAAAATGGAACTGATCAAATTAAAAAGCATTCTGCACCAGCAAAGAAACTGTCACAAAGCAAACAGACAACCCACAGAATGGGAGAAAATTTCGCAAGCTACACATCTGATAAAGGGCTGATAACTAGAATCTATTTAGAACTCAGGAAAATCAGCAAGGAAAAATCAAACAACCCTATCAAAAATTGGACAAAGGACATAAACAGAAACTTTCCAAAAGAAGACAGATAATGACCAACGAAACATATGAAACAAATGCTCAACATCTCTAATCATCAGGGAGATCAAATCAAAACCACAATGAATATCACTTAATCCATCGAAAATGGCCCTTATTAACAAGTCCAAAACAATAACATGTTGCCATGGATATGGAGAGTTAGGAACCCTCCTATATTGCTGGTAGAACTGCAAACTAGTTCAATCTCTGTGGAAAGCAATATGGAGAAACCTTAAAGTGATACAAATAGATCTACCATTTGATCTAGCAATTCCATTACTGGACATCTATCCAAAAGAACAAAAGACACTCTATATAAAAGACACCTGCACTCGAATGTTTATAGCAGCTCAGTTCACAGTTGCAAGAATGTGGAAACAACCCAAGTGCCCATCAATTCATGAGTGGATTAATAAAATGTGGTATAGTGTATACATGGGTACTATCCAGCTCTAAGAAACAACGTGATATAGGCACCGTCTTTATTTTCCTGGATAGATCTGGAACTCATTCTACTAAGTGAAGTATCCCAAGAATGGAAAAGTAAGCACCACATATATTCACCAACAAATTGGTATTAACTGATCAACACCTAAGTGGACATATAGGAATAACATTCATTTGGCGTCGGGCAGATGAGAGGGGGAAGGAGGGGATGGGTATATACATACATAACGACTGTGATGTGCACCATCTGGGGGATGGACCTGCTAGAAGCTCTGACTCTGGGGGAGGAGGGGGGGAAGCAACACACGTAACCTAAAAATTTGTACCCCCATAATATGCTGAAATAAAAATTAATTAATTAATTAAAAAAAGAAAATAGCATAAACACAACTAAAGGCCAACAAAAAATTTAGAAAAATGTTTGTAGCACACTCAAGGTATTTAAATAACATACATAAAAATAATAACATATACATAGAAATAATATATTATGTAGAAATAACAACAATAATGTCCACTATTTATATGGTTACAAGAACATTCCTACATACAAGACTTATTTGTTTAAAATTATTTAACCTTTTGAACATTTTCTGAAATTCTACTTATAGGAAATACTCTAGGTAGCCAAAGATATTTGTACAAAAATACATTTGTATCACTGTTGATAGTTGAAACATAATTTAAACATAATCTAAAATTAAACAACATAATTTATAATAAAAATTTTACAATCAGTTTTAGGTATCACAATTAGTTTTAAGTATCCCTTTTATAATAGAGAAAAAATTTTTAATTGCAAAATTTTAACTGTTGGGATTCATTTCAAATTCTGATGGAATGCTCCAAAAAATATTATATAGTTCTCTAAATGATAATTCATATTTGTAATTATGGGAACAAAAAAGAGTTTATAAGTTTTTAAGTATCTAAATAACTTGAAAAATAACATATAAAGAATGTCTTCATATTTGTGAATGTTGAATGTCATTGTGGAATCTTCAGTTCTCTGAGAATACTCTTCCCACTACTACATTGTTTTATGATCTGTGCCAAATGTTTATTAGACAAAAAATTAATTCATCACTTTGGAACGTAATTCATGAAGGACTCTTACTTATTCTCTTCATTTCATGTTTAGCAAATAAAACAAATGGCAATCCTGTTATAAAAAATCCTCCTTTTGTCTAGGAAGATCTGAATATTAGAAATTTTCAAACCAGAGAGTACTCCTGATATTAGTATTTTCTAAGATCTTTGAATACAACCTTCAAAATCAAACACATGCCTTGGTAGAAAATTCTTGGCTACATTGTAGAAATGAAAAGAACAGATAAGTGAATGCCATTCCAGAAATGCCTGTGAGGTAAGTTTGGGTCCATGAGAAAGAATGACCAGAAGTCCACATGTGCCCTTTGCAAACATAGTCTTCTTCATACTTCTAATCCTCCTCATGCTCAGGGATAAATAACCAACTGAAACCATTACATTTGAGAGGCTTGGAATATCATTTTACCTTAGAAATAGTTTGATTGATTATGTTTTATCAAAATTAAAAAGATGTGAATAGTTAATTGAATTGAAAGGAAATAAGAGTTCATAACATTGCATGTGATTAGGAAGCTGATATGGCTGGCTTTATGCATCAATATATAGCAGGCATCTAAAGACAGACAAAATGAGAGGCTTCTAGAATCAGCCTTAAATTGGAAATTATCTGTTGATACAATTAAGATTCCTGCGCTCTTTTTTTTATTTTAGCATATTATGGGGGTACAAGTGTTAAGGTTACAAATATTGCCAATGTCCTCCTCCTCTCTCGATCCTGCACTCTTTAAAATATTCAGTTTTCTAAAAAGACAAGAGAAATAAACATAAATCAGTCAAATGACAGTGACATCTTATTTTTGAAGATATTTAGGAGCAAGGACATGGTCCAAAGTTTCCAGCATTGTGTAAAGCATCAGCTGAGTGCCTCAGGATGGAGGAAAAGACAGGTAGGTGGGTTATCTATATAATTTTCTTCTATATTTTGAGTCATTATTCTATTAATCAGTGTATTTCAGTTACTTAAGTAATTGTTAATCTTTTAATTAATTGATTGTTACTTGTATGAAGCTTATATTCTTGGGAGTGTCCCAGCTTTTCCTAAGACAATAAATCCGGGTCCATCCTCCCTTTCTCTAATAGAATCTATAAACTCTGGGAGATTTTCTATGGCATATAGTGGGTAGAGACTATCTCCCACTACTGGATAAAATGCAATAAAATGAAATCTTCAAATAGCCAAGTAATTAGAGTTTCTATAAGAAATGATGGGATCATATGTCTCTCTCTCTCTCTCTCAAAGAAAAAAAAAAGAAATGATGGGGTGGTTTTCTTTTATCAATTTATTGATGGCCTTGAACAAGATTGGAGAGTAAAATCATTTGAACAGATGTTAGTGTAGTTAGTTGGCATCGGCCAAGGAGCAACCAAAGAGCAGCTATTGGTCCAAATCCAGAACTTAAGAGTCTTTAAACTCTTGTTTTAATACTTTCTGGTAAGTGTATTGAGGAAGCATAAGTGAAAATGATAAAATGAAAGTTATTTTTCTTCCAAACACAGGGATAAGTCAGTTAACACATTTTTTTACCTTAATGGGTATTATGTATGTGCTTAGTAGGTAGTAGGTTATGGTGTGACTTAAGAGCCATTCAGAACATTTCCTCCACCAAATGTAAAAGCAAACAAGAATCGCCTAAATTAGAGTCAGGGATGTGGCAAAACTATGAGTGTCAAAATAGTTTTAAAATTGAGTCCACATAAGAAGTAATATAACTTGATCTAGGTATGAGGTTAAATATTTGTCTAGACTTAACTCTAAGATTCAGACTCCTTCCGTTCTGTGGCTGTTACATTAAACAAGATTAAAGTCCTGTTTTCAGCAAATTTTTATTTCCTTTATTAAGCATAGGGTGTGACTAAATGCAGGAAGGTCTTAATGTAATTTGGGAGATTCAGAAAGACTACTCTGAAGAGTCTAAATAGAAATCTGAGGAATAATTTGTAAGAGCCAGGTATAAGTCAGAATCAGTAAATACCATGGAGTAAGAGAGAGGAAAAAACACAAATAATTAAATGAGAAGTTTTTCCAGACAGGTAGTCCATGTAAAATGGCTACCACAACACTTGTCTCACTGGTGTGTTTTTAGAGCCACTCCCCACAATTCCACTACGACCAAACAAATTTCCTCATGTTAGAGTCAGGAGAACAGCCAAATTAAGTGAAAGTACCTGCAATGTCAATAGGGTTTCAAGATAAGCCTAAACTAAGAAACAATAAATGTGATCTTAATTGTTCATATAGGGCAACCACTGTCGGCTTTTGGTTTTAGAATAGCCAAGAAAGAGTAGGGCAAGGAGTAATAGAGAGGCTTTTGAACATGTTCACTTACAGGGAGTGTGAAACTTCCAGGTGCAAATGTCTAACATTGAGTGGCATCATGTCTAGAAATACACATGTTGAAATCATAAAATTTTAAATGTTAAATTGAAGTCATGCTAATTGAAGTCACCAGGAAATGTAATGCCCAGGAAAAAGAGAGAAGCAGAGAAGCAGAGTTGGAATGAAGCACGAGAAATATCAATGCCGCAAAAATGAATAAGGGAAGAAATCCCATAAAGAAACCAGAAGGAAAAACATAAACCATGAGTGTGAATATCATGCAAGCAATCTATCTAGAAAATTGTAAGAAGAAGGATTAACAGTGCCAAATGTAACAAAAAGGTCAATGAAATGACTATGTTCATTTAACTTGAAAGAAACCACATATAAATTTGCCAAGAGCAGTTTCAATGGAGTGATGTGTTCAGAAGCCATACAATAAACAGTTAAGGATGAAGCTGTAAATTGAGAATCAGAGAAAATTATTGTAGAAGCTGAAAATGGAGGTCTGATTGGAGGATGTATTTAACACTTATAGAGCTTTTTGTAATATCAGTTACTTGACAACACGGAGTCTAAGTGTTTCAGTCAGACAAATATCAGACTGAAATCATAAAACAATAGAATCATATTCTTCAGCTATGTACTGCTTTTATAAAATATATTCTCATAAAATATATTTATAAAATATATTTGTGAATTAGATATGTATTAAAAGCTTCCTGTGTTCTGCACCAAAGTGGACAATCAGTAAAAATCAAGTAAAAGTAAAAACAATTTGAGAAAGCCATCAAAAAGATCTTGTGGATAATTATTTACAGGGAATTGTCCTTTGTAGATGAATTATAGGTTTGGTTATGGCCACAGAACAGGATCCTCAACTGTTTTGACACACAGATATAGAAACTTCTTCTTGTATTATAACCACCTCCCCTCTGTTTTCAATTTATCCAGGGGGGAAAAAAAGCTGGAAGCAGATAATGAAATAGAGTAAAATTTCATTTTGTGACAAAAGGAAAATTCTTAGAAAAGAAAAACAACCTACTCTGAATATGGATGTGTAAGAGGACCTTTTACTTGAACTTCAACATGGGATTGGGAACTGAAGACCCAAATCCCCACTGCCCCTCCAGTCAGTGCCAAACTGAGCAGCCCCCTTTCAAATAGATTTTCTTTACTGATGGAGACTCAGAGGAGGAGAGAAAACCATCTGAAGAAAAAGGCAAAGCACTCTCTGCCCATTCCAGTGAGAACCACACCCAGAAGCAAAAATCAGAGCCCAACCCAAATGAGGAGGAGAATTCCAAGGAAACTAAGCCCAAAGGCAGAAACAGCACTGCTAGATCAGAATCAGAGGCCAGTTCAGCCTGGGGGAAACCAGGAAGAGGAAAATCAGTTCCAAGGACAGCTGCCACAACAGAGCAGTAGGGAACTGTCCAAAAGATGAGTGCAGCTTGACTTTCAGAAAGAAACCAAAAACCTCTGCTGCTGTACACAGCAATGAAATGGAGGAGACCTGTAATGCCAGCCATAGGTGACATCTGAAGGCCTGAACTGGGCACAGCAAGTGGCCCAAATCTCATTCCTTAATAGACCACCCACCATCACTTTGGAAAAGTCTGATGACCTCCCTGTGTGCTACATCTGAGGCCATTTATCAAGACCTACTGCAGGTGTGGGCACAGCAGGTACATTCTCCACTGACCTGGGAGCAACTCTCTGAGCCCACCCAGCTCTAGGGACTTCTGTGCACCATGGTGCAGACCTTCTATGCCATGGCCACACAGGCAGCCTATGTCTTCCCTGCTGAGACTGGCTTATCCCAGCCACACTGCCTCATCCTGGGGATCAAGTCTTGGATGGAGAAGCTCACAGCTCCTCCTAGGAGGGAGGCTGACCCACTATTTACCTAGATAGGAGATAATCAAGCTTGTCAGTGGATCAGATAAGGCTTGAGCCGAGGGCTCCCTGGTCCTATTCAGCAGAGGATACAGCTCTGGGAGCAAGAACAAAGACCTTCTAATTCTCAGATTCTTCCAGATGACCAGCAGCAACAATTTTGTACATACCACGTTAATAAATGACAGGACCTGGGGCAGTCCTAATAAAGGAACTTGAACAATATACTTGGAATGGTGAACTCTGGGTTTCCATGAAAGCTAAGATTACTGACAAATTTTATGTTTCATGTTAGATATTTCGTGTCTTTTAGATGTTTTATAAGAGTCATGTAATTGTTTTTAATTAGAAAAATATTAGGATTTAATCATTCATATGTGTGTATAACATTAAGTCTGAGAAAATGAATATATATTGATATCTTCCTCCTTTAATTCAGGAATAGATATAGATCTTCACTCTCCCAGCCCAAGTCAATAGAAGATTGATATCCATTAACCTTTAATACCATTCTCTATGGAGAAATGCTTACATTTTCTCAGTTTAATGAAATAATGGGGAAATTGGCATGCCATTGTTGATTACGTTTCATTTTCTTCATATAAAATCTAAGACAATGTATATGAAATGTTTATTGATCACATTTATTCTTCACTTGGCTCATATAATTTGCTTTTTAAAACTTTCTTCCATTTTATGGGGTTTAGTTTATCTTATTTTATTATAGACTATTAAATCTAATGTAGGTATTATCATTTTTTACATATTGTTATATTTTATTTCATATATTTTCTTTTTTTGTTTGTTTGTTGTCTTAGACAGAGTCTAACTCTGTTGCCCAGACTAGAATGCCATGGTGTCAGGCTAGCTCACAGCAACCTCCAACTCCTGGGCTCAAACAATCCTCCTGCCTCAGCCTCCCAAGTAGCTGAGACTACAGGCATGTGCCACCATGCCTGGCTAATTTTACATATATGTGTGTATATATATATATATATATATATATACACATATATATATGTATATATATAGATAGATATTTTTTTTTTAGTTGTCCAGCTATTTTCTTTCTATTTTTAGTAGAGACAGTCTCGCTTTTGCTCAGGCTGGTCTTGAACTCCTGAGCTCAAATGATCCTCCTGCCTCAGCCTCTCAGAGTACTAGGATTATAGGTGTGAGCCACTGCACCCAACCTATTTCATATATTTTCTATTGCATTTTACAGTAGGAGCATGCAATATTTCATCATACAAATGTGCTTATTTTTTATGTAGGAAAAATGAAAGTTTTTTTTATTGCTCCCAGTGGAACAAAGTATGTCATTAACAAATCAATTCCAAAGGGTAAATTTGGATAGAGTAAATTTTTTAAAAATCATAGAAAATTATGTTATACTTAGACTGTATTATTTAAAGAATCCTTAAGAAAATTCAATTTTTTTTCAAACTACAGGTCATGACTACTTGACTATAAATCAATTTGCTACTTATATTTATTTTTAATTAGATAAAGTAAAATAGAAATCATCAAAGTCTAGGGCATCTAAGGATTACTATTTTTTGAAACTTTTGTTTCAAATATATGTAATTGTATATATGTACATGTACACTGGATTGCAATGTAAAAATATATATCTTACCACACATTGTAGTCAAAAATGTTTGAAAGACG